GCATGCGGTTCTCATGTTTGCTCCCAGAGGCATGTTTGGCATCCAGAGGAATGCGGCGGGGCCCTCCAGGCACCCGCTGCCTCAGCCTCTCCTTCAAATCGTTTATCCGCACCTTCCAGTAAAGCTACCCCTCTCTCCAAAGCTATCAAGTCCCAAAGGAAAAGAAAAAAAAAAACCAAAAAGGGCAGCATGTGGGTCTTGCCAGCTCCAGCTGTGAACCCTGCAGCACGCCCCGAAGCTGGGAGGGGTGGAGAAGGTCCCGTTCATCCCCCAGCACTGGCTCTGCTGCGTGTGGGGACGAGAGCTGCATCTTCATCGGGTGCCTCCTGCCCTCTCCGACAGCGTCTGGCCCAGGGCTGCTCCCAGGGAGCCCAGCACAGCGCAGCCCCCTGCAAGGCCCCCCAAACCATCTGCAAACGTCACCTGCCTGTCCCTAGGAAGGCACCTCCGTGAACAGAGGTTTTTCTGCAAGAAGAGAAGAGAGGGCTTTCCTCCAGCCCAAGGGGTGCACGGGAGACCAGAGGGCTGTAAATCAGCCTCACTTTGAAGCTGCTAATTGAGCTGCTTCTGTTAACACCCACGCACAAAAGCAAGCAGTGGGGATAGTGGCATTTCCACTGTAACTCTCCCAGTTAGACACAAAACTCTTCAAACAAGATGCTGCGCTGCCCGTGGAGGCGCAGGGATGTCTTCGGGCCCTGCCAGGCACAGGAGCAGTTTGCCTGGGCTCCGTGCCCGCATGGGAAAGCAGAGCTGCTCTGGGATCCCTGCCCACGGGGCTTGCGGGAAGAGCCAAAGGAGAGGTCGTGGCTGTATTTGCTGCCCCGTCCCACTCTGCTGAGCAACGCTGCCAGTAAGGGGTCATGTGTCGCTCCACCCTGAGGAAAGGGCAGCCAGCAGCAGCCTGCCTGCCTGCCTGTGCCTTCCTCTGTCTGCCTTTGTTATCCAGGAAACTGCTCTGGGATCCCTGCCCACGGGGCTTGCGGGAAGAGCCAAAGGAGAGGTCGTGGCTGTATTTGCTGCCCCGTCCCACTCTGCTGAGCAACGCTGCCAGTAAGGGGTCATGTGTCGCTCCACCCTGAGGAAAGGGCAGCCAGCAGCAGCCTGCCTGCCTGCCTGTGCCTTCCTCTGTCTGCCTTTGTTATCCAGGAAACAGTGATGTTTGCCTTCCTGCCTCCCTCTGTCTGCCTTTGTTATCCAGGAAACAGTGATGTTTCCACTGAGAAAGCTCAAAGTTCTCTTTTTTATTTTTTCTCCCCCCCTCCCCCTTATTTCCCTTTCCAACACAATTTAAGCTCCAAGAATACGTAACAAAAGCATTTGCAATGAGGCCAAGAGGTGTTTTCTTAAGGGAGGAGTCAAGCAGCCTGGATAACGTATTCTTTAAAATACTTACCTGTGAACATGTTGACAAATTACGTGGAGATGTCTCGGCCATGTATTTTTACAGGTCACTGGTCACCTGAGGTCTGAATTGGGATGGTGGCTGCATAATGCAAAAAGAAGTTGCTGACAGGAAAAAAAAATGCTTTAAATGCTGGGGAATTCTCTTGTAATAGCTTACAGCAGTGACCTCAGCATGGGATAGTGAGATGTTGAGAAGTATTTGGCAAAGACTTCTTGAAATGTCAAATCTCCTCAGGGAGCGTCACAGTTCGCGCGTACATCAGAAGAACCAGCTGCTGTAGTTTCGACTCAATGAAATCCCCTTGCTAAGAGAGCTCAGATTAACCCCTTGAACCAGGCTGCTTTCCTACCTGAGGCTACGCAGGAGACATCTGTACCTGCTGAGACCATCAGGCTCGGACCAGCCCCGTCCCTCTGCCACCCACGTCCCTCTGCCACCCACATTTGCTGTCCCATTTTGCAGACCAGCCCCGTCCCTCTGCCACCCACATTTGCTGTCCCATTTTGCCCTGTATTGCCCCAATAACCAACTGAGCACCGAAACCTCCTGGGCAGGAGCTGCCCCAGCAGCTGAGCCCTGCGATAGCGGGCCTGCGCCTGCTCAGCCGGAGCCACCGAGGGTGACTTGCTTTATCTTGCTCTGACATCCCTTCCCCGTGCTGCAGAAATCAGGCCAAGCAGATGGCGACGGCAGAAACGAAAGCACATACGGAGGGGAGCCTGACCCATGCTGCTCTGTGCACCTACGCTGCCAGGCTCGGACTGGAACGACGTGAGGTTTCCAGCAAAACCAGCCAGCTTGTTTTGGGGTTGAGCTGCCGGAGCTGCTCTTGGCTTTCCACGGAAACATGCCCTCGGCTCCCTGCCGGCTCCCACACGCCCCTGCCATCCCCGTGCAGGGCAGCAGCCTGGGATGTCGCCCACAGCTCCCAAAGCCTTTCTGGGACTGACCCCCTGGGTCTGCCCGGGCTGAGCGGGGGAACTGCAGCAGAGGGGCTGCAGAGCTGGGGACCGGGACGGCTAAATAGGATTAAGGGCAGGTATCCATTGCTCCAGCTTTCCTCTTCAGGAAAAGCTTTCCTCCTCTTCCACTTACTAGAAACACTCACATTTCCAAACATTACTGCATGGATTGTCTTTCTTTCTTTACTTCTTTTTTTTTTCTTAAACCAAGTTAAACTGCCATAGGAGGCTGTTTAGAAAATAAATAAGTAAGAGTGCTGATAAAGAACTGATTGAACAGCAAATCTGACTATTATCAAGATATCTCTAAAAGCCGATACCTTTCTTAAAAGAGCATAAAATATGAAAAGGGAACAGCAGGCCGCTGAATTCACAGGCTACCCTTTATAAACAATTACCATTTATTACTAAATGTAAATAAAAACCCAGAAAGGCACCTAAATATAAGGCAATTAGTATTCTGTATAGGACAAAGATGGTAAGCGGCCAACAGCATAAACCTGACATTTCCAGTTTCTCTGTTGCAGTCTGACAACACTGGAGAGTATATCTAGCAGTTACTTCTCTGTGTCTGCGCGTAGTCGATGTGCTAACAGCCTGCAGCGTTACAGAGCTGCCTTCCTCCGTTTGGAAAGCAGAAGTAGCTCCTTTACAATATGACATTAGTAGATACACAAACCACTCATGGCTGTTATCTTTCATGTAGTCTGAACAGAAATATAAACTGCAAAGAATTTATGCCTGATACAAAAAAAGTTTTTGCTGAACAAGGTTCTTAAAGTGCTGGATATAAAGATCAACATCCCATTTAGCGTGTAAAGTACTATGATTTCCTAAAATAAATAAGCACATAACTTTGCAAGACAGGGAAGTCAGTATTTTGCTTTCAGCACAACCCGGCTGGCAGCTAGCGTGAGGTGTATGTGCAACCGGACCGTGCTGCAGCCAGAAACTCCTGGTAAGTCAAGGGACCCAGCAGAGAGATTTGGGTCTCTTACAGCCCGTCCAGTGAGTCTGTTTTTACGGTTCTTGTTATGGCAGCAGGTCGGCGTTGCTAGCGAGCAAGGAAATGTGGAAACAGCAAGTCAAACAGGTTGTGACATAACCGAGCTCCGTCAGAAATTCTGCAGGAGGCCTGAGGAGTTTCTGAGAAACTGCGGCTTCCCACCCCCAGCCTGAGAAAAGGCTGGTCGGATCAGTAGGGAATCATAACTGGATTCCTGGTTAGGAAGGAATTACTGAAAGAGAGAAAAACTGAAGGGAGAAGTTGGAATTAGCCAACTCTTGTGCAAGCAATTTTCAATCAATTTCTTGGAACATTAAAACATATCACAATTAAAAAAATACATTTTGTATGTGCACATGGGACAGGCCTGATCTAGCTTATTCTTTGTTTTAAAGCAAAGTGTAGGAGTCCTAACAAGTAGGACCATCGCATGGGGCACTTTAGGAACAGAACACAGCGAAGGGTTGGCATGCTTTATGCTTACAGTGCTATTTTTGTTTGAAAAGATAACAATAGATTTAGGTAGGTGGGATCCCATTTAACTGTGTGTCTTGTCTACATCTGCAGTGAGATGGCAGGAGGAGCAGGACATTCCAGTTGTCTTTGCAACCAGGCAAGGAAGATGCAAATGCCTCCTTCCAGGGTTTCTTCCACGGGGGTCCCTTTGTCACGGTGTCATTGGAGGAGAGCAGCCCCGTCACAAATAAACTGCTTCAAAGCTACAGATGAATCTTTCCGTGCACTTCCCATGGGCCGTATACGCAGCCTGGGGGGAGGAAACGTTCACATGAAGATTAGCCCGGCTGTAGTTTCAAGGAGGGTTAAGCTTTCTGCCCAGATTTTTAAAAACCCACCCAATTTGGGGGTGAATTTTAGCACTGCACTTTAGAAAGGCCCAAACCAATTCCTCCTTCAAACACTAGAGGCTGTTTTCAGGCATCGTCCCACTTTCCCCCAGCTCATCCCTTGCTCCAGCCTTCTGGCACCGAGGGGCTGATTTTACACGACCCGTGTTTTGGGGCAGGAGAGCCAAGTTTCTGAAGCAAGACACAAAGCGGAGTTTCTCACACATTAGATCGTGTGTCAAGCTGCTGCTTTGACACGATCTCCTGAAGAAGTGCTAGGAATGACAAAAGAGTAGAAAAAGAAAAACCAACAGGAAGAGATTTTTAAATCAGTCTTCGTTCTGAAGTGACATAATAGAGCAAAGTAGAAACTTTTAGGCAAAAAAAAAGGACAAAGTTTTCCCCTTTCCTTCTACGTTGTATGATCTAGGATGCTTCTAGCTTTCATTTGTTCCTACCAAGGACCCACCGTCACCAAACTTCATCTCCTTTAAGGCCTGCAAAGCCCTTTTCATACACTGATACCTCTGCAACGTCTTTCCTACATACACTTCCACAAGCGCTCAACCATGCAGCCCCGTTACCCTGCCTTTAACCCCACAAGTGGGATTCTTTGATTCCTTGTTTAACAGTCCAGACAAATACCTTGGGGTTTCGGTCACAGCCGAATGCTAGCAGGTTGGAACAAACCCCAGCTTTGAGAAATGATGCAGCAATGGGGAAAATCCCTCCTGGCCACGCTGCACCTGCACGGGGACATTTCTGGACCTGGGCTTAAGCACCAGCCTCGTCACATTTGTGTAACAGCCCCGGGCTGTGCGGGTTCACACACAAAATCCACCATGACAGGGGTGACAGATTTTCTGATTTTGACCCAAGAGTCATGGCTCAGGGATGGGCAAGTTCAGCTTGACCCAGACACCAGAGAAATGCTTTTCATCCAGTCTCCAGTTGGGTAACGAGACCCTCCAGTGGGTGTTTTGTCTTTATTCCTTACAATTTACATGCTTATGGTTCCCACCCAGACACTGTTTCCAACGCAACTGGCACTCACCCTTGTTACGGGTAAAATAATCCTTTGCAACGGATGGGGAATCTGTTGTAGCAGCACTTCTGCCATGTCCGGCTTCTCCTGGCTGCCCACGACCTCGCTAGCGTGGAACAAGGTTAGCGTTAGTGCATTGCCTCTCGCTGCTGCAACAAGGACAGAAGCCCCAGCACGCTTAAGGCTACGTGGTATAAAGTTGTCTCTTGCTTTTCAATATGGAAAAAAAAATAGGTTAAACAAAATCTCTAATAACACGAGAGCAAGGAAACAATTGACAAATGAAAATACATTTCATACAAAACAAAGCTTTTTTAAGAGGAGGAGGTCAGTGCAGTCAAACCTGAGCTTTGAACCAGGTGCCCAACCAGCGAAAAATACAAATTATATAGAGAAAACCTATAGAAGGAAAGAACACGACAAACAAAAATCACTCACTTCCACAAAATGATGCAACTTTAGACCATTTTAAATTTTCAAAGCAGCCGGCTTGGGGGAGGATGCCAGAGATCCCCATGTACTTTGGAGGACACACGGATCCTTGGCTGGTTCCAGGAGAATAGTAGTTTTGGGTTTTGTACAAAGGTGCAACAAATCTGAACGCTGAGGTAGCACAGCCCCTTGACACTGAAGAGAAACACGGGAAAAAAAGAAAACTCCAGGTATAGGACTGGGAGTAAGCAGGGAGTCCCACTGATGAGTTCCCCTGAACTCCAAGCGAGCCTCCAGGACTGACCTGGTGTCCTGGAGAAAGAAGAAGAACGGGAGAAGGAGATAGTATTTTGGAGTGACTTTTTATAAAGGCTGAGCTTCATTTCATATGTGAAAGCCTTCTTAGGTGGTTGGATGGCATTTCCACGGGAACCTGAGAAGGAAAATCACGGTGTGAAATTAATCTAATGGCTTTTTTGTAGAAATATGATAAAGGAGCAAATTCAGTTGGGAAACATGGGACTTGATTCAATGTAGAATCATTTCAACTCACGTTGGGAAGGAGGACTCCTTTCCATTTCTTTCGCTCTAAGTTTGACAGGTGTGCTTTTCTCTAGGGTATAAAGAATAAGTATTGCTCAGAGCACTACGCCTTTCTTGCACAGACCGTTCATTCCTTACTCACTTCAGCAGCACTGCATTTTTTCTCTTTAAAATTGCAATATGACTTACGCTTGACATGTCCTGTACTAAGCAATCACAATATGTTAAGCTGGTGCATACTGAACACTGAACTCAAATACTGAACTCGGACGAAATCACCTTTGCATTCAGGTGCAGTTCCGCTCCAGACTCCGTTTGTTTTGTCCGTACTCGTACAATGGATGCTCACATTTCCAACGAGCTGGAAGCCAGAGTCACAGCTGTAAGTCACTGTTGAGTTATAAGCAAATTTTTCTACACCTTCACCATTGTGCTTTCCGTTGCTAATTTGAGGAGGTGAAGAGCAGGTAATTACTGCAGGAAAGAAGGTCAAAATGAGTATTGCAAAAAGCTTCAGTAATAATGAAAATGCAAAATTTTTCTTGAGTCCACCTAAGATTCTTGAAGACAATAAACCATTTGGACAACTGAAGATGGGTAACTAGCCCTGCCTTCTGCCACAATCGTCTCTCTTTTCCTTCTGAAGTGTTTCTGTTGCCACAGCTTTTTCCCTCTCGCTCCAAGGGTCACAAAAATAAATAGGCAACTTGCCATGCCCTGGCTCGTGATTCCTCAAAATCTCTTCCCATCACCTTCACTGCAACCTTAATTCATGGGAAAATACGTAGATCTCGTGGGAACAAAACTGCTGAAATACAGCGTCAGCAGCAAAATGGGTATTTCTCAGCTGCGGTGTTGGTGACAGATCTGCCACATAATATCAACAAAAACAAACGAAGTACGGAAACAGGTTTAGACTAGACATGAGTATGCAGGATCTACTGGAGAGAAGTCAAAAGTAAAGTTGGATTAATCTTACATTCACAAGTTGGAAGTTTACTCCATTCAACATCGTTTCCTTTAAGCTGACACTGGATGAAACGACTCCCAGCTAATTTGTACCTAAGTGAAAATACACAAGAAAAGAAAAATGTGTGTAACTATCTAGAAACTGAGAACAATTTTTTTTGCCCGGTACCACTATGATCAGGAGTGTAGAAAAGGCAGTTTTAAAGCAAGCAGACGTGCAGATACAAGCTGGTTAACAGGAGAGCTCCTTCACCTTGCTCTCTCTGCCAGGATCCTTGTTAATCTATTTTTAGGCGATTCTCTCCTTTGACTCACTACAAAGCGCATCTTCCATTGCAAGGATGGGAGAACTCGTAGCTGGTGGCTAGCAGAGCACGCAGTGAATGCCAGACGGCACTGAGGTTAGATGTGGATTCCCACATGGATGCATGGAGCTCGGATCTGCTGAATCAGGGACTATTTCTCCCTGCCTGCTTCCTGGCAGAGAGCAGTGCTGGGATTCAGGCTGCTGGCATCCAGCGCCTTTCCCACACCGCTGTCACGCACCAGGATGAGATGATGAGGTGAGGAGCTCCCTCCTGAGCACACACAGCATCTCTAAAGGCTGTGGCTCAGCCCCTGACTGCCGCTCCGCTTCGCGGCGGGGGGGG